AACTGTCACGAGAGAGGATCTATTGATAGCAAGACCTTAACGAGACATAGGTAAAATAATCAAATTTATTTCTCAATATAATGTCTTATCTACTGATATAAATAAAATATTGAATAAACTTTGTCATCCTGACATTGAGGAATTTAAAAACAAGCCTATGCCTGTATATAAACGAGCTCCATCTCTTGGAGATAAGTTAATTAAAGCTGAATTACCAAAACCGATCTCACAAACTTCTAAAAAGAATGGCAACTTTTCTTTTTCTAAGTTGCGTCTCATGCATATCAATGATCAAAGGATCAGTTTTTTGCCATCCGTTTAGTGGAAAAAAATACCCTGTCAGACAACATGTTACATGTCTAACTACCTTTGTGATATACATTCTTAAATGCCCTTGTGGGCTCTTATATGTGGGTCAAACAACTCAAAAAATGAAGGACAGATTTTCAAAGCATAAATCCACCATTAGGATGAGCCTATTGGAGTTGCCTATACCCTCACATTTCAATATAGTTCATCATAACATTTCCCAATTGAGATTTCAAATAATAGAACATGTGCAGACAAATATTCGACGGGGAGATAGATTGAGGAGACTCCTTTTACGTGAAGCCTTTTGGATCAAAGAGTTTGATACTCTTTCTCCTAAGGGCTTAAATAAGGAACTTATTTCTTAATTCAATAGTATAACTATATGATCAATGTTAAATTTATACTTATATATTTATGTGTTTATTAAGTATTCAGGTTATACTCTTTATTGGTATTTGAACTGAGATGACAGTCCTCTACTATATCCTTTGTGGATATTTCTTTAATTTAATTATACTGCTCTCATCTCTCTTCATTATCTTTTTGTACCAATCTCTTAATTTTTTTTACACTTTTTTTGCATATTTGTGTATACCTTTAATCCACAATATATTTCCTTATTTCAATCTCATTATTAATGGCTTCATTCTTCTATATATATATATATAGCCATTTATCTAATTCAAACACAGTTGAACACTGGTTTAAATCTTATACACCTTGCACGTTTCTCTCACCCACAGTGATTATAGTCAAATCTTTGTCTCTTTAAAAGTTTTAGATTATGCAGATATTATATACACTTCGACTCCAAATGAGTCGTTCTAGCTTATTTAAGGGTATTTCTCTTTATACACTTTCCCTTATATATAAAAACTTTGTGAATTTGATGTCCTTTATGTGTTAAGGATACTTTATATTAAAGGACCACTATAGGCACCCAGACCACTTCAGCTTATCTTTCTATTGTATTTATGCTGTAAATGTGTATTTTATGTCCTATATACACTTGGATGTTATGTCAGTATCCATATAAAAATAATTTATACATTTCTTTTTTCTGTATCAACAAATTAATAAGTATTTCAAAGCTTGTTCATTATTGGCAATTAAGTATTAGACGCTCTTTCTAATCAATGTAATTAACAAAGTATTGTTACATAGTTACATAGTTACATAGCTGAAAAGAGACTTGCGTCCATCAAGTTCAGCCTACCTCACATTTGTTTTTTGCTGTTGATCCAAAAGAAGACAAAAAAAACCAGTTTGAAGCACAATTTTGCAACAAGCTAGGAAAAAAATTCCTTCTTGACCCCAGAATGGCTATCAGATTTATCCTTGGGTCAAGCAGTTATTACCCTACATTGAAAGACGATATCCTTGAATATTCTGTTCTTGCAAGTATGCATCTAGTAGCCGTTTGAACATCTGAATGGACTCTGATAAAACCACTTCTTCAGGCAGAGAATTCCACATCCTGATTGTTCTTACAGTAAAAAAACCTTTCCTTTGCCTTAGACGAAATCTTCTTTCTTCCAGTCTAAACGCATGGCCTCATGTCCTATGTAAAGTCCGGTTTGTGAATAGATTTCCACACAATGGTTTGTATTGGCCCCGAATATATTTGTATAATGTTATCATATCCCCTCTCAGGCGACGTTTTTCTAAACTAAATAGGTTTAAATTTGTTAACCTTTCTTCATAGCCAATATGTTCCATTCCTTTTATTAATTTTGTAGCCCGCCTCTGCACTTTTTCTAGTGCCATAATATCCTTCTTTAGAACAGGTGCCCAAAATTGCACAGCATATTCAATATGGGGTCTTACCAGTGATTTATAAAGAGGCAAAATTATATTCTTGTCCCGAGAATGCCCTTTTTCATGCATGACAATACCTTACTGGCCTTGGTCACTGCTGATTGACATTGCACATTGTTGCATAGTTTGTTGTCTATAACAATTCCCAAGTCCTTTTCGTGTGTTGTTATCCCTAATTCGCTTCCATTAACGTTGCACTGTTGATAAGTAGTATACTACTTCCAGCCATTAAATTACTTGCTTAGGATACTGATTCACATGTGTATTTTATAATTGTGATTGTTTAAAGTTTGTTATATATATTGTAAAATTGATGTATGTATCAGCTTGACAAAGACCTTTTGGGGTCGAAACATTGCTGTTGTGGTTCCTAATAAAGTGCCTGTCTTGAACCAAGGAGTGCCTGGACCTCTATTACTTTACTCTTATAATAACTAAAGCCTAATGCAGCCGAATTCCATCGGCCTAAGCAGATCTGGATGAATCTCCAAGATGCCTTCAGTGTCCTCATTAGAATAAGAGCTATCACATCCAAAACCTAAATAAAATATAGGATGTGGAAGCTTCACAAAGCACTGGTTTTAATAAAATTAGATCCGGCCAAATTAACATCTATAAACATTGTGCATTAGCTTTCAAAAATATATATTTTTTAATAAATTCTTTATTTTGAAGGTTTTCATTTTATGGGGTAGGGGCACAGAAAAAAACAGGGTGGTGGGGTTTGTGGTACAGGATTCTTTTAACATACAGGTATATCTGAAAATGGATAAACAGTCTGTGCATTTGAGCCAAATACATATCGGTGGTGTCATCATGTGTTAATTCTAGATGAACATTGTCTGCAGTCCTGTTTCCAGTTGTTATTTTGTAGTCTCGGGTTTGGGGTGGGGTGCAGGGGTAAGAGGGGTGGGGGATAGGATAGTTTTTCGTGTACCTTTTCAATTTTTTTGTAATTTTTTTAATGAAAAATTCTCTGTTTTGGTACCAGAGGATGAGTGGCACGTACTGCGTGGGTGTGGTGTGTGCGAGAGTCGTTCAAGGGTGCAATTCATATTTGGTAGGTACGGAAGAGTGGGTTCATTAGTTTTGTACACTTAGTATTTGTTGGGTGGTGTGTGTTGTCGGTTGTCGTTCGTCGGGTTGATCGGGTGGAGTAGAGTGCGGTCGGGGTGGTATGGGAGAGTAGGTTCGGCTCTGTGAGTCGTTGCTGTCTAGTGTGATCGGTGGCCTTAGTTGTCTGGGATTGGTTGGTGGTATGTTGGGGGGGGGTCGAGTGGGGAGTGGTGTGTGGGTGGGGGGGTTCATTTGCGTGTCATCTCTGTTGCTGGTTCTTCTGATGCGTTAGGCGGGGTCATTGCCTGGGTTGGGAGTAATAGGGGGGAAAGGGTGGGGGAGGGGGGCCTTCTGGTTGGAGGTGGTTAGTCATCTCAGGGTTTAAGGTGTCTGTGCGGGTCTCTGTAGCCAAGGGTCCCATATTTTGTGGTAGGAGTTAGAGGTGTCGAGGATCAAGGCGGACAGTCTGTCCATTTCCATTGTGTCCTCTATTTGGCAGTTCCACCATAGGTGGATGTATGTGCCTTGTTCCCCGCAGCCTTTCCAGCAGCGGTCAGAGGTAGCCTTTCCAGCAGCGGTCAGAGGTCGTTTGGCGCATTTGTTTTAGTCTTAGTGGGGTGATGTACCAACGGAACATGGTTTTATAGTCTTGTTCCTTGTGGGTGACGCAGATGGTGAGTGACGCCGTAGCTTCCCATATGTCATTTGAGTCGGTTGGGTCATTGGGGGGGGGGCTATGTCAAGTTCCCAGGTCGTGGTGTATGATAGGGCGTCGGGAGAGTTGGTGAAGTATAAATGGTGGTGATTTGTCCCTTTTGTATGGGGGAGCATATGCACATTTTCTAGAAGGTTGTGTGTGTGTGGTGGTGGCTATTTTGTGGTTGTTTGGGTGGGACAGGAAGCTTCTGATTTGTAGAAAGCGAAAGTGGTCGAATGTGGTGAATGGGGTGATGTTCGGGAGGTCTGCGTAGGGGATTAGTTGTTCTCACCGAAAGAAGTGGTAGAGTCTGATTAAGTTGTTGTCTTCGTATCTTGCGAAGTGTTGGGGTGTCATGCCCGGTTGGAATCGTGTCTTACGTAGTAGTGGCATTAGTGGGGACGGGGTATTGATGAGGCTGTGTTTGTGGGTCACCCGGTCCCAGAGAGTGCTGGGGGTGCCGGTGGGGTGTATGGTCTGTCTTGTTTGGGTAGCCATAGGAAAAGAGAGGGAAAGTCGCGGCCGGACAGGTAATGTTCCACGTCTACCCAAATCTTGTGTCCCGCTGGGGCGTGTAAGTGTTGGATATGCGCCAGCTGGGCCGCCTGGTGGTAGTCCCACAGATTGGGGAGGCCCAAGCTGCTCCTCCTGTGTGGTACATAGAGCGTTGTTCTCTTAACCCGGGCTCTCCTCCCTGCCCAGATGAATCTGCGTGTTTGTAAGGAATTGAAGTCCGATCTGGAGATGGGGATGGGCAGGGCCTGGAAAAGGTACAGGAAGAGTGGGAGAATATTCATTTTGTATGGATGCCCGATATGCTCCGAGCCAACATATGCCTCCTCCCAAAGCCACACAAAAACCACCTGGACCCGGGCCATTACCGCCCAATATCCCTTCTCAACAATGACATTAAACTGTCCCTCCATTAGGGAGGTGAATAGGGAGAGGAGGTGTGGCAGGAGTATGGTTGAGAATGTTTTGTAGTAGAGCCCTGAGAATCCGTCAGGGCCTGGGCATTTGTTGGGCTTGAGGGTTTTCATAATTTGCGCGATTTCTTCCAGCGTGATGGGTGTGTTTTGTCTTCCCTCTTCTGTGATTGAGGGCATAGGGATGCGGTTCAGGAAGTCCTCGATTTTTGTCGATGTAGGGATGGGTTATGTCTGGAGTCGGGGTTGTGGTCATATAGGGAGGAATAGTTTTCTTGAAATGTGTTCGCGATTTGGCTAAGGATATTGTGTAGTTGTCCGTCGGGTGCTCTTATTTTGGTTATGTGTTTGGCCCGCTGCCTTTGGCAGAGTATTTGGTCTAGGAGTGTGTCTGCTTTGTTTGATTTTTCGTAGAACATCTGTCTGGCCCATTGGAGTGCCTTTTTAGAGTCTTGAACCATGAATTTTTGGATTTCTTGTCTGTGTTTGTGAAGTTGGGCCGTTAGTGCTGGGTCGGGGTTGGTTTTGTGTTTGCGTTTGATCGCTCTAAGGGCTGTCAGGTGCGATTCCAGCAGCGTTAGTTGCTGTTTTTTGTGTGCTGTGGCTGCCGCGATCAGTTTTCCCCATATGACGGACTTGTGGGCTGCCCATAGGGTGCTTGCGGAGGAGACTGAATCTTTGTTGATATCGAAATATTCTGTGATGTCTTTCCTAATGTTTTCTCTAATGGTTGTGTTGTGGAGGTGTGTGGGGTTGAGTCTCCAGGACCAGGATCGGGTCGTGTGTGTGATGGTGATAGTGAGGGATATGTCGGCGTGTTCCGACCATGTTATCGAACCTATTGTTGCATTTGTAACTTGTGGGAGTAGTGAGGGGGAGATGAGGAACATATCTATGTGCGAATATGAAGCGTGTGGGTGCGAGTAAAAGGTGAAATCTGCGGTGGTGGGGTGTAGTATTGAGTGCATGCTACAAAGTAGTGATTTGTCGGTCCGTGCGGTGGGTTGGGGTCGCTTTTGTGTGGATGCTGGCCACCGTCTGTCCATCTCTGGTGACAAGGTGGCATTGTAGTCTCCTCCGATTATCGAGTGGTGTGAAGGGAAGCAGTGGAGGTGGAGGTGGGCTTGGAGCGAGTTCCAAAATTGGGTGTCAGGGAGGGTGGGGGCGTATATGGAGGTAAAGGAGTATTTGTGGGGTCGATATGTGCCACTAGTGTTATGTATCTGCCCTGTGGATCCATGACAGTGCGCTTGAATGTCAAGGGGCAGGTTTTGCAGATGATGATGGCCACTTCATTTATTTTCCCTCTTGGGGAATTTTCCAGGTGGCATTCTCTGTATTGTCTGTTCAAGAGAGGGAATGCTCTGGCTTGATCAAAATGGGTTTCTTGGAGTAGGATTATGTCAGCATTAGAGCGGTTGGTCCATTGCAGGAGGCGATGCCTTTTCGCTGGGTTGTTGAGGCCTTTGCAGTTAGTGTATACGCAGGTGAGGCGTGCTGGTGCGGCGGATTTGTGGGCTCCGGGTCACCAAGGGGCCCCCTCTGGGGTTGTGAAGGCATGTAGGTGGTGTGGTAGAAGGGTTTTGAAGTTGGGGGTGGGAGAGGGGAGGGGGGAAGGAGAGAAGGAGAGAAAGGAGAGAATGGAAAGAGAGAAAAGATGAAAGAAGGGAGAGGGAATCCAAAAAAAAAAGGGGGGGAGAAGGGGGAAAGAGGGGTAAGCGGGTACGGGTGTTGAACCTGGTCTTATGTCCGACTAGCCAGGTCGTCCTGGGGGTGGTGGGTGGTCGGTTGTTTCCTTAACAATGGTTTAGGTCTGCGTGGGTGGTGGTTCAGTACGGGGGTGCTGAGGAAGGGGTCGTCCATCTAAGGCAACGTCTCCCCCCCCAGACGTCTTTGTGCTGATATGCGCACGGGTCGTGTGTCAGTGTGTGGGAAACATAGGATGGTGGTTGTGCCTTTAGGGGTCATAGGTCGCTGTTGGAGTCGTCATGCGTGCTATGTCAATCGTTTTCGCAGTGAGAGTGCAAGTCACTTATGTTGCAGTTTCAAAACATAACATACCATTACTTAACATAGCATTTTACCATAAATATCATTGTACTTGTGTTTTCAAAAGACATTGCGGTGCAAAGCAAGCATAATGTAGGTATCATGTAGGTGAGTCCATGTAGTTGGGGTTGCAAAACATGAGGTAACATTCTTGGAATTTGTTAGCGTAATGTGTCGCTATAGTTGCTGTCGTGTTTGTGTTTTTATGGATATGGTGGCGGTGGTTGGTGTCGCTGTAACATAAATACCCTAACAGAAATCTATCTTTGTAACCCAAAACACAGACACAGAGGTCTTTCGTTGTAACCCAAACACCAACACAGAAGTCTATCATTGTAATCCGAGTATCAGGCACAGAATTCTATCATTTTAACCCCAATACCCGGGCAGTGAGCTTGTAGCTAGTGCGTTGTTGTGGGTATCCTAATATTGCTTTTGCATTGGTTGTGGTTGCTGCAACGTCTATTGAGCATAGATTTGGTACCAATCAAGCGTGTCCATTTGAGTGTGGATGTAATACTTGATGTAGCATGACATCTTTCTTTTTTTTTCTTTTTTCCTTCCTTCCCTCCCCTTTTTCTCCTTTTTTTCCTTTAAGAAACTTAGCTTAATATTCCTTGCTATAAGGTGGGTTAGGTTGGGATGGGGTACCTATGGCCTGGGTGGGGCTCTTGTTGCACAGTGTTGGTTCCTGGGTGTTATATCCTTTGGTATGATGGGGAGGATAATTCTGGTGTTCTTTTGGTAGGCGGAGGGGGGAGTAGGTTAGTGTCTCCTCTTCGCTTATTGTGGTTCCTATGTCGCAGATGTCTATCTCTGTGTGTTGTGTGTCCCAGGAGGGGCCTGTCTTAATGAGTGTGGCCGCTGTGGTTGCTGGGGGGTCTCTGATGGGAAGATGTGTATATCAGAGCGCTTTTAGAGTGCTGTATATGTGGATGAGTCCTGGGGGCCTGAGAGGGTGGTGCAGTAAAATGTATATGTCGTGTATCAATAGAGCACACAATTGACTGAATGCAGTAAAATACATACATTATATATCGATAGAGCACGTAAATGACTGAATGCGGTAAAGTACATACATTATATATATCGATAGAGCACGTAAATGACTTAATGCAATAGAATACCTACATTATATATCAATAGATTGCATAAATGATTAGATGCATGAGAATATGGGGGAAAACGATTGCCTGGAGTGGGGGGTAGTGAAATACCTTTGAGTCCGGAGGAGTCGCCCCCGCTCCCAGCATCAGTCCCTGCATTCGTAGGTGAGCCTGGGGTGCCCCGTTGTGGGTCCGTTGGTAAGTTCTGCAAATTGCTGTGTGGTCTGAGGGCTTAGTCCCGGGTATGAGGGCGGATGAGTCGCGGGGCTCTCCGTTTGATGGTGTTGAGGATTTCTTCATAGCGGAATGCAGGGGTCTGCGGTGGGAGAGCATGGAGGGGGGTGGGAGGCAGGCACAGCCCAGTGGGGACTCAGGTGGAGTATGACCCCAGGGATAGTCCAGTTCCAGGTGGGGTCGGGGCCCGTAGGCCGCGGTACTGTGGTATTTCATTGTGGGGAGAGTGGGGTTAGGAGGTATGGGGGGGGGGAGTGAAGGTAACTTACCATGTCTTGGAGTCCCAGTGTGGTTAGTAGATCATCTTAGCTTCCCCTGGTTGCGGGCTTGATTGGGTGGGGAGGATGGTTCTTGAGTAATTAATCACGGTCGTCGGCTTGTGTAGGTCTCTTGCGCGGAGTTTGGCGTGGAGAACCATTGAGCCGTTCCCTCTGAGATCGGGGTCTGCTGCCCATGCCTGGGTTTGCAGTTAGTGGTGGTTGCAGTAAGGTTAGGCCCAGTGAGTCGGGGAAACAGTGCCATTTCGGCGGGGTTCATCAAGATATGGGTCTGATTGTCTTTTTTGACTATTAACTTGAACGGGTGGCCCCACATATATTTCACCCCATGATGGTGGAGTGTGAGAGTCAATTGTTTAAGGTTTCTTCATTTTTTCAGGATTGTGGGGGCCAAGTCCTGGAAAAAGGCCAGTCGGACGCCTTGATGTTGTGGAGGGGTGTAGCGGAACGTTGGTCTCTCACAGACTATTTCCGCTGGTAGTCCAGATGTGGCTCAGGAACAAGTAGTAATCCCTGGAGAAACATCCACAGTAATAGAATAATCCAAAAGCGTAGCAAGCACAACCAGCAATACAATCCAATAATATCCCATCACCTTTCCCAATAACTGGACGACACACAGTATCAGGAGCAGAACTGCACTTTTATTCCACAATCCCTGCTTTTATGCCTCTCTCCCACTGCAAGGGAGACACCCACAATACTTAGTACAGTCACCAATCACACATCACCTCCCCTCTGCCTGTGATACAATTATCTCAACACAATAGACTAACTTAATTATCATAGGCAGAAAATATCGTTTTTACACACATGCTGTAACTTTAAAAATATACATCCAATCTTCCTACTGTACTTTAAATATAAACATACTCAAAAAGTAGGTGAATCGGTTCAGGGGTTAAAAAGTTAGGTGAAGGTCCCTTTTAGGACCACTGAAACAGCCCAAACTTTCCAGCCCAAACCAGTTCCAACTAGTCTGACAGTGTGCCTGGGACAACGCCCTGCTGGAGAACAATGGGACAGGAAATGGGGGAGGGGTACACCTTCCTATACACAATCTATACAGAGTCTTAAAGAAGACCATACACTGTGCTTAAAGGGCCGCATAATAAAAATCCATTATGCCCAAATATGTTCTTAAAAGGCAATATATGCCAGGGCCCATAGTCACAGGGCAGGAGGCGTGCAAGCAGCCCCCTCCAAAAACTCATGGCCTTAAAGGGGCGAATTTGCTACAAGAGGTTTCTCTGGCTAGGTTGAGGAGTTTTTATTTGATAATATGTCGTGTATCAATAGAGCACGCAATTGACTGAATGCAGTAAAATACATACATTATATATCGATAGAGCACGTAAATGACTGAACGCGGTAAAGTACATACATTATTGTTACGACACCCCCAGGCATAAAAGGGGTTAAACGCCGTTTACTAGATCTTCCCCTTCCAGAGACACAGGCACAGCTACTGCAGAACCCCAAACTCCCGAACAGGATACCAAGTAGCACTCCAAACTCCCGAACTGGAACCTCACGAATAGCTGCTAGCACAGAACAGGAAAAGCACCCAAGCGGCTTACACTCCTGGCAATCAGTCTCTAACAGCATACAGTAAATCCCCCCAAGAACGAGACAAAGCTCTGTGTTGAGGGTCAAGCAGTGAACAGTCAGAGCTGTGGGCTTATTGTTCTTATATACACATTAGTACCACCCACAGGGTTTTGGAAACAACCAATAAACACATACAATATACTCAGACACTCCCACACAAAATCCTCCCCTCTGCCTGTGATACAATTACCTTACGCAATGGGTAATGTAATTATCACCGGCAGAGAAATACAGTTTTTCCACATTATTCATAACTTGAAAAGTATGCACATAAAACTTACATTTTCAGAATCAGCATACTCCAAATACAGACATATGTCAAAATCATCCAAATTGGTCCATTGGTTCAAAAGATAGATCGAAGTCCTTTGTGACCAAATGAAGCATGGCTTTTCTGCCCAAAACCAGTTCCACAGAGTCTTCTGTCCTTGAGATAATTGGGAAGTAATCCAATTATCTCCAACGACAAAGGCAAAACTCCATTGAACACATGGCAGCAAAAGACAATAAAAAACATAAAAATATATAACTGTGCAGCCATTGCACAAAACAGGTACATTCAACATATCCCCAGATAGATCTGAGCGCACATTATTACTGAATGGCGCTCAG